CATTTTTTTTGCAGTCTAATTGAAATTTTATTTCTAAAATGATTTATGTTAATCAAACTACATTTTTATTTTATTAGTTTTTATTATTAAAATTTCAAGAAATATGTCTTTCTAGTTCTAATATTAGTAATAGAAAAAAAAAAATCCAAAAACTCAGCAGCCAAACTACACCATTAGTGACATCTACTGCGGCCGTTTGTGGAAGGTTCGCGGACCACATGTGGCCTGCGAGCCAGTAGTTTGAGAGCCCCGATTTACAGTGACTTGACAAACACTTGACTCCAGATTTGTTCTCTTTGTTCTTCATCCTCTCTCTCAGGAGGATGAAGATGGTTTCCCTAAGAAGAAATGGCCGACGGTCGACGCCTCCTACTACGGAGGGCGCGGCGTTGGAGGCATCAAAAGAATGGAGGTAAAAGTTCTTGGTCAGGTCTGTAGTCGGTCTGTAGTCGGTCATAAATCTGTGGATCAGTGGAACTCAGACAAAGGGCGGGAAGCAACTGAAAAATTGCTGAGCTTGCATGTCTTAGCTGGAGGAGACTGAGTCACGACGGCGTTCGCACTTTGTTCTGAGAGCCAGGCGAAGACAAGACCAGGACATCTGGTCAGAGGACGGGGTTTAACGCCAGCTCTGGACTCTGTTAGCGTGGGAATCACGCAACGCTCCGCGGCCGTCGTCTTTGATTCTCCTTCGAGTCCCGGAAGGAGACGGAATGTGCAACGTCGAGCCGTGAGTCGAGGAGTTTTGTTGTTTTTACAACCTTTGACCCCAGAGAAGGAGAACGTCATCAGTAGGTCAACGGGAACCACATGTGCCGAGTGTTTGGAAGCACCTGAGGGTCCAGACGGACAGAGGAGACCCTGGGCCGTGCCTGGAGGCGGAGCCTCCGGTCTGTGCTGGGAGTTCGACTTCTCCGTCTCCAAACAGAGCAGTGGAAAGAATGCACGGCGTCCTCCGCCAAGTCAGAGCCGTCGTGGTTTGTCTGTCGCAGCTGCGCGGGAGTGAGTTTGACTAATGAACTTCCAAGGCTGACCTGACAGCGCAGGTTTCAACCACCGCGTGTCACTGCGACACGATCGGTGGGATTTCTCCAGACGTTGTTTGTCTTTAGGTTCGTCTGATTGTTTTTGGCCGGGCTAGCCTAGCGGACTAGCTGTGTTTGTTCTACGCACATATGCAAATCATTAAATGGATGCAAAGCAGAGTCGAAGCTGCCAAAAGAAATCCAGTGAATTTGTTGTGGATTCTAATTGGTCGGGTGTTCGCGCCAACATGACCATCAACACTTCACCTTAAAAAAAAGGAGTTCGTCGTCTGCAAACAATGAGAGTCTGTCGCACAGATGAGGTTCAAATGTTTCAGTGGTCGAGCGGGTCTGATCATCAAATCCAACACCAGAGTTTCACCGCGCTGGAGATGGAAACACTGGCTGCTGGTTCTGCCTGGTCCTGGTTCTGGTTCTGGTCCTGGTTCTGGTTCTGGTCCTGCAGCAGATCCAACCACAGCCATGACAGGTTTGTTGAACTCCCTCCAGCAGCGTTCACTCTGGGCCTCTGTCTGTCCTCAGGTCCGCTGGGGAGACAAAGGCTCCACGGAGGAAGGAGCCAAACTGGAAAAAGCCAAAAATGCCCGGGTGGTGATGCCGGCCGAGGAGTTTGAGTCCCCGCCGCCCAGGCCCTGCTACAACACGCACAAAACCAACCGCCCTCAGAAGTGGTATTCTCCCATCAAGGTGCCCACAGTCGCCGTGGCCAGTCTGGGTCACGACCGTCTACAAGAACCACAGAAGAAGAAACTTCTTTAACAGTCACTGTGTTTTTACTGTTTAAAATAAGTTTGTTTCCTAATCCAAGTAACCTAATCTAGTCTAACCTAATCTAATCTGATCTAATCTAATCTAATCTAACCTAATCTAATGTAGTCTAATCTAACCTAATTTTACTTAATCTAATTTAATCTAATCTGAACTAATCGGATTCAATCTGATGTAACCTAATCTAATCTAATCTAATCTAATCTAACCTAATCTAATCTAATACTGACCTTTCCTTGTCACGCAGCTTGATCTTGATCGTCGTTTTACCTTTTAAGTAACTTTCTAGCTACTGCTTGGTTTTTTCAGCTTGTTAGCTTTAGCTTTCTTGGTCACCTTTATCCTGTTTTTTTTTTTGTCATTTCTTAGAGTCTACTCTGTAGATAATAAACCAAATACACGGTATAAAAACTCCACCGTACACAGATGTTACGACACCGTGGGTAACTTTAATCCTTACTTTTCTCTCCAGTTTTGACTTGTTTTTTCGGTAACCGTGGTAACCGGGCGACCTTTTAGCCGCCTCCACA